GGTGTGTCTGTAGACTAATGAATTAAGAGGGGCCTATGAATGTCTGTTGAGGAGTACATTTCTATCAGTCTGTCCTTCCCATACGTCCCACAGACAGAACATAGCTGTAGCAGCCATTTTTTCTCATTGATGATACAAAGTACCTGATAATAAACAACTGGTTTGTTTTGGATCACAGTGTGAGGGCTTAATCCATCATGGCGGCCAAGCTATGGTGGAAGGAACATAAGGCAATTGATCACATTGTATCTGCGGTCAGCAAGTGGAGAGAGATGAACCCTGGTGCTCTGTTCACTTTCTTCCTTTTATTTAGTCCAGAACCCCAACCCATGCAATGGTACCACCCACATTTTGGGTGGGTCTTCCTATCTCAGTTAACCTAATCTAGCAGTTTCCTCACAGACACATAGAACTTCACCTTTTCTGTGGATCTAGCCCCTGTCGAGCTAACAATTAATATCGACCATCTCCACAATTAACCCATCCCTAAGAGAGATGGCTCAATCCCTATAGTGACACAGCATCATCTTAAGTGTGCAGGGTCCCTTGGTGATGGCTGATCCTCTCTGCCAGATGAGGATCTGGATCCACCTTGTCCAGTGCCCTGTGTGCCCAAACGACAAGTCATCTGTACACAGTGTCAGGTTTTTGAAGGAAAGTATACTGTATCCAGCTCCGTGATTGACAGGGCTCAGCAGCAACCCAGCAGCCCTTCAAGGCTTGGCTCTTCCCTCTGAGAATGCTCTTCTGTCTTTTTCATGCTGACCTTTGGTTGCCCTGGTGACATCCTTCTTTTTCTTTTCTTCCCCTTGGCAGCTGCTGACTAGGGTGTTGAAGATAGCCCCCGAAGAATCAGCCCACACTGTCCCTGTCAAGCCCTGGTGCTTCGGTTTTGGCTTTTTAAAGAAATTCTAGATTCATGTATCTTCATTCAGGCAAGGGTCAACTTCTCCGCCCAATACTCACTCCCTGTTGGAATCTTTGTTGCTGAGATTTTCATATCTGTGTTTTGTTTATAAGTATCTAAGTGATGCTGATGTTAGTGTGAGAGCTAGTCATATTCTACACACCTCGATTTGTGGAGGCCCCAGGAGATGAGGCACAGCCTAAACCTTGAGTCGCCATGGATAGGAGGGGAAACTTGAAGTATGGGGTGTTTGTAGGGACTAGGTCTGAAAGCGGCTGACACAATTTGGTCCCTCACTCCATTGGTTAGCATTCCTTCACAAGGTCCTCGATAAATGCTATTCATCCCTGCGGTGCTCTGCAGCTTTGGGGACTGTGCTCATGTGGGATTGGCAGTAGCTGTCAATGGGTCTGGGCTCACTCACAGTTTCATTGATAATTTAGTACGAGTTTGTCCATAACTTTAGAGGTTTCTTCTCTTGGTACTCAGCCAGTTCCTAAATGTATGTCTCATATCCCACTTCTTAGTAAGACATTAGGCTTGCATAACAAAGCTATACTTTCTATCTGCTTCTTACCCTGTCACTTCATCCAGTAGAGGCTTTTCCATGAGAGAGTGGGAGAAGGAGAGACAGAGACAGAGACAGAGACACAGAGACAGAGAGAGACAGAAACAGAGGAAGAGAGATTTGTACCAACACATAGATTCCATTTCCTGAAGTATAAATCTTGAATTTCTGAGCTTTATTCTCTTGCATGTAGCTCAAAGAGAGCCAGCTCTTTCCCCAACTGTTTTCCTTATAGCAATACCTTGACAGATGCAGACAGAAGCAATCAGCACACCATCAACACGTGTTTTTGCAAAGTTACCCTTTGGAGCTAAGATTTCTGTGGACAGGCCCTGACAGCTTTGGTGCTCTGGAATATGGGCCTCTATCTTTCCAACCTGGGGCATCAGCTTGTTCCACATGCTGTCAGCAGTCTGCTGAATGCTGTTTGTTACAGATCTTTTATTTAATTTATTTTGCTTTGGCAGGGGTAGGGTTTTGCTACATATCCCAATGCTGGCCTTGAACTCACTATGTAGCCTAACTGGCTATGAACTTACAGCAATCCTGCTGCATCAGCCTCCTAAATGCTGGATTATAGTTGTGCATCATCATGATTCACTGTTTTGGGTTTTTGATGGTGGCACGTGATCATGGCAGCTGTCTGTCTGTTAATCAGGGCCTCAACATAACAAATACTCATTTTCTCTCATGTCACAGTTTGAAATAGAGTATGTGGCTCTCCTAAGCAATGACCAATAGCTTAGAGGCATGGACTTGTTCCACCAGAAATTGACCCCAGGGTACCTTGATCTTAGGGCCACAAGGCTGGAAGTGTAGGTGTTTTTCAGGGGCTGAAGTAGCTTACATCATTTCAGTCCCAGTTAGTTGGCATTTAGATGCATGGCCACCAATTAAACACAATTTGTGCTAGAGAATGAGGAAGGGCCCATGGATGTAGGGTGGGTACTCATAGTCTCTGCCACTTTAGGACAAGAGGGGGATTTCCGTCAAATGACACCCTTCATGTCTAAGCCAGAGATGACAGGAGAAGTCTTGTCATATAGAAAGAAAGGATATGAGGGACCCTCAAATGTATCCTATCAATGATCCCCAGACCTATAGGAGAACTCTCTAGAAGGCCAAAGGGTCCACCTTCCCCACCCACCACTCCCGATTTGTATCTTTGGTGGTGGTACTTGGGCATCTGTGATGGATTATGTTTGTTATGTTTTTATTCTGAGTGTCTAAGTGTTGCTGGTGCCAGTATGAGGGTTGTGGAACTACTGTACACCCTCACGTATAGAAACCTGTCAGGTTAGTAACCACCCAAGACTACTAGGTACATTAGTGGTTACAACCCAGCTAATCTTTGGATTCCACTGACCTCCATGCCCAGTTTTGGATCACCCTCTTTCTGTCATAGTTTTGGATTTCTCTGTATTCATGCTTAAAGAAGACAAGGGAACCTGTGCATAGATGAAGATAAACAAGATTTTTTTTTTAATCCCTTAAAATGAAGAGCGATGCTGGTGGTGTATCACACTAGGTGGGTAGAGTGCCTGCCTAGCATGCAGGAAGACTTGAATTTAATTCTCAGCACTTCAAAAACTGTATGTAGTATACATACCTATAATCCAACACTCCGAAGGTAAAGGTTGGAGGATCAGAATTCAAGATCATTCTTTGCTACATATTGAGTTTTAGGCCAATCTGGGCTACACGATACTCAGTTAAAAAAACAGAAAGGAAAAATCACTGAAACAAACAATCAAATAAAAAAGAAACAAAAGAAGAGAAAGAAGAAGAGGGGGAGAAGGTGCTAAGTTTGGCATAGGTCATGTGCACTGATTTTTTTGGCCTTGGCACAGGGAGTCCCTCCCCTCTGAACTGTACATCCACTGATGCTCTGATTAACATTGACCACAGGGCTTGTTGAATATCACTGTGGTATAATATGTATTCCGTCCCTTCCAACACCACTATACAAATGGCATGAAGATAATTTGGGTGAGGCTAGTCTGCCTCCTGGTGGCTCTTTTAGGATTTGCAGCATGGTTTGTTGTGTTAAGATGAGGACTGATTGGCAGCGGCAGGTGAGGAAGAAAGCTCTGTGAGATTTGGCTGGAGCTGTGGTGCATGGTCACTGGTGCATTGGTTGCTTGTCCTGAAGGTGCCAGCTCTCTCCTGACACCTTCTGTTTCTACTGGAGGCTTTAATAGAGGCTCAGCTGGAAGGTGCCGGGGGTCTGTCAGAATCTTGTACTAGGTGCCGATCTCCACTTTCCCTGCCCCTTCTGACTAGCAGAGATAGAACTGTTTGAAGACCCATGGTTCCCAGATGTGTAAGGGAATTTACAAGGTCATGTTGGTCCAGTATCTCCAGTCTCAAAGATGGAGATGTTTCCAATATTCTGGACTGGAGGGACTTGGGGACTGTGAGGAGACCAGACAGATAGGAGTCTGGTACAGTAAGAGACTGTGTGAAAAGCCACAGCTTTGGGAAGTGGAAAGGTGTCTGGTAAAGAGGTTAGTCTGATGTCAGAGGCAAAACTGGACCTGGTTTTGTCTGGCCTCAGCCTGTCTGGCTTCCCAACTAAGCTCAGCCTAGAGTGAAACACCCAGGGTTACCATCTACAACTCCCTCCCTCTGCACACATGCCCTGCTCATCTATGACCCCCTCCCTCTGCACCCATGCCCTGCTCATCTATGACCCCCTCCCTCTGCACCCATGCTCTACTCATCTACAACTCCCTCCCTCTACACCCATGCCCTGCTCATCTACAACCCCCTCCCTCTGCACCCATGCCCTGCTCATCTATGACCCCTCCCTCTGCACCCATGTCCTGCTTATCTACAACCCCTCCCTCTGCACCCATGCCCTGCTCATCTATGACTCCCTCCCTCTGCACCCATGCCCTGCTCATCTATGACTCCCTCCCTCTGCACCCATGCCCTGCTCATCTACAGCTCCCTCCCTCTGCAACCATGCCCTGCTCATCTATGACTCCCTCCCTCTGCACCCATGCCCTGCTCATCTATGACTCCCTCCCTCTGCACCCATGCCCTGCTCATCTACAGCTCCCTCCCTCTGCAACCATGCCCTGCTCATCTACAGCTCCCTCCCTCTGCACCCATGCCCTGCTCATCTACAACCCCCTCCCTCTGCACCCATGCCCTGCTCATCTATGACCCCTCCCTCTGCACCCATGCCCTGCTCATCTACAACCCCTCCCTCTGCACCCATGCCCTGCTCATCTACAGCTCCCTCCCTCCCCTCTGCACCCATGCCCTGCTCATCTATAGCTCCCTCCCTCTGCACCCATGCCCTGCTCATCTACAACCCCTCCCTCTGCACCCATGCCCTGCTCATTTACAACCCCCTACCTCTGCACTCATGCCCTGCTCATCTATGACTCCCTCCCTCTGCACCCATGCCCTGCTCTCTACAACCCCCTCCCTCTGCACCCATGCCCTGCTCTTTGCCACCCTGCTCATGCCTCTAACTTTGTTTTGTTCCTTAAAAAACAACAACAACATCAAAGATAGGATTTTATGCAAAAATATATTTTATATGGAAATTCCATAGTTATACATATAAAAATTCCACAGTATCATAACATTATGATTTCATCCTAAATATTTTTTTATAAAATCTTGGTGCTGATTCTTGCAAAGCCCCTTCACGATACTGATGCCAAGTAAACGGGGGAAAGGCTTCTGCAGGTAATACAACATTAAATGATGGGGTGTCCAGGGCTTTACATTCAAATCACATCCAAGTACATAGCAAATTAAATAAAATATTAATAATTAGAGTTAATTCCTTAAGCATGACAGTTTCACATTCCTAAAGACAGCTCCTGTCTCTTAGAGATACAATCAGTCCATCTCAGCACAGTCCTCAGAAAAAACAAGGGCGCAGATTTTTTCATTCTTGTCTCCTGGGTTGATTTCTGTTCAAGCATGACTCTTCAAGGCTTTGGAGTTTGGGTTTTCTGGTCCAAGTACTTCATGGCATCTTGGACCCACTGCTGCTGGGCTTCAGCACAGACTTCTATACCTTTCTTGGTCTTGAAGCTGTGGGAAGAGTGCTCTGTTAAAGAATATGTAACTTGTTCTGTGAGTCCCTGCCTGGCGAATTACCCCAAATGATGGCATTACCCCAGGGAGGGAGGAGGAAGAAGGTAAGACAAGGAAAGGGCCTAATGGAAAGATGCAGTCCTCACTGGCCAAAGGTAAGCCCCTCCCCCGTGCCCTGGCTCCGGGATGGAGAGGGAAGTCCTGAACTGGTGGCTCTGGAGAGTGTGGTGAGTTTCCGCTTTCCCACTGAAAGCTATCTGAGTTTGCATTAGGGTCTCCATGCATTGAGTGTGTGGTCCTGTCCACTGCCTCTGGGGATGACTGCGCACTGAGGGATGAAGGCAGGTGCTGTGTACTCACATGACTGCTTCCCAGGGACAGTGACTACTGGTGATCTTCTTGTAGCTCTCGAGATTCTTCGTGGGGATCTTTCGTTTCTTGACATAGCAGCACGTGGATGAATTGATCCCATCTACAATGAAAGAACAAGAAAAGGTTCTCCGTGGTGGGTTCTGGGTCACTCAGGTATGATGAATGGGGTGGTAGGAAGCAGCCAAGCAGGTAAGAGAAGACAAAAGGAGAAGTTGCCCACCCCTAGTATAGTATCTCTCCCTCTCTAGTATGGCCCCTCAATTCTTTCTCACTTGTATGGGTTATATGCCAGTCAACAGGGGCAAGACGAGCTGATGACAACTCTGGCTGTCACTAGAAAGTGTTAGGATAATGACCCAGTTCCTTAGAGTAAGAAGATCCTAGTTGTGACTCCCCGCTTTGGGATTAGAAAACTTTGTGTCCAGTTGTGAGCATCTTGTAGACAACAGCCCGTGCAGAGCTGCTGTTGCTGGAAACTGGGCTGCCTGAAGCACACACTAGACCTTGGGGCTCCTCCACTTCCCTCTTCTACCTGAGAACACACCCTACCCCAGACCCCTCCGATGCCACCGAGCCCCATCACTAGAGAAGCAGTGGAGCAGGAACTAGCTTGTTTCCACAAACGAGTCCTGGAAGGACCAGATTCAAGTCCTGGCTCTAGTCCTGGGCTGGCCTCCTTCTTTCTATTGCCTTCCTTTGGCAAGGCCTGTAAGAGGAGACTATGGGTAACCCGCATTCTGTAATGGCTCATGAAAATGCAGAGAAGCGACAGCACGCTCCAGGGGGGAAGGAGGCAAGGCCACTCTTACCTGGCTGGGCCTGTATGTGGATGCTGAAGGCAGCTGCTGTGAGCAGCAGGCACAGAAGCATGCCAGAGACCTGCATGGTGGAGCAAGTGAGAGCTGTCTTCAGTGAGAGCTGGCAGACTCTGAGCTGGCCTGGCCTCTGCTCTTCTGGCAGCTCCACCTCCTCTTTTATAGGCAGCAAATAGGGAGGGATCTTCATCTGGAATGAATCACAGGAGGGTGTGATTTGAGGCTGTCCTATTTCCATTGAATACCAGGAATGGGAGATGAGGTGGTGACTCTGTCCAGATAGAATGCTGTACTGTGAATTTTGGCTATTCCTATCAGCTCAGATGCCATGAAAGGAATACTTTCTGTAGAATGAGGAAGGAAACAGAGATGACAGTGTCACCACGGGATTCTCATTTCCTCCTTCAACCAACATCCTTAGGACCCCCAAGTCCAGAAACAGGCACTAAAATTTGGGCTGGATTTTAAAATGCACTCAAAGAACAACAGTTTGGGTAGCTTTTCAAATCTCAGAGTAAAGTGGAGTGATAAAATGTTAGAAAAAAAAGAATTTCACAAACCCTTATGTCTAATATAGTTTTCAAATATACTTGGGTTTTGGATAGGAAGGTTGGCTGGACTCAGCTAGGCAGCACTGGCTTAGGATCCATCACATCTTTGTAGGTGGATGATGGTTGAGGCTGAGGATCATCCCAAAGCCTTCACTCCAAGTCCGGTATACTTAAACAGCTGTATGTTGGACCGGATAGTGTTCTTTGGTTGCTTCCTCTCCCCGTTTCTCCGCATCCCACTGTGAAAACCATATATTTTACAGGATGCTTTAAAGTCTCCAGAAGCGTAAACAACACCTGTTAGAAAGGGAATGTAAAAGAACCTACAGACATGTTTTTAAAACCACTCTACAGAACCAAGTCTGTAAGACAGTAGCAGAGAGACCATTTAGAAAGGACAAGGGCCTGACTTCCATCCCCAGAAATACTGTCTGGAGGAGTTATGGAATGACACAGCACACGGGGATCTTGGAATTTTGTGGTTTTCAAAATATCCCATTAGCTGTGAAAATACCTTTTCTAAGTAAAAGAACACAGGGAAGTCAAGCTGAGTATAGTGGCATATATCTTTAGTCTCAGCCCTCAGCACATGAGAGGCTAGGCAGGAGGATTGTGAATTTGGGGCCAATCTATATTACAGAGTGAGACATCATGTCAAAAAGTCCAGAGTCTGGGGATGTAGAACATGCTAGCTGTGAGCACTTGCCCAGGTTTCATAGCAAAGACAGAAACCTAAACACTAATCAAGCAGCTATGTGAGAATCCAACTTTGGATTGAGAGAACACATTCACAGATGACAACTAGTTGGGAGTTATCATCCAACTAATAAAACGAATTCCTACAACTCAGCAGCTAACCAAAACTCCCCCCCCCAAAAAAAAAAACTGAATTGAAAAGGGGCAAAAAATATTAATGAATGTTCTTTAGGGATGATAGACAACAAGTATAGAAAAAGACATTCTACATCACTAGTCACTGGAAGATTGTGTGAGGCCCTGAGTTCAATGTCAAGTCTTTATATGTAAATAAATAAGAATGAAAAGGAAAATCCAAATCAAAACCATCACCCATTATAGTAATTACATCAAAATAAGGGCTGGTCCTTATTAGCTCGGTGGTAGAGTATTGGCATAGCATTTCCAAGACTCTGGGTTCCAATCTTCCTACTGTAAATAAAAATAGTGGGCAAAGAAGGAAAGGGAGAGTTATTTTGTGAGTATGTCATTTGGGTTTTACAAGGTGAAAATGGCCTAGGGGGTCTGTGGTTCAATAATGTTAGGTATGTCAACATTAATTCCATAAACTATACTGGAAGATCGAAATTATGGTGAATTTTGTGGTTTGTCTTTTTGGCACTGTTTTAAAAGTTAAGTGGAAGAATGAATTCTTTAAAAAGTGAATTTTATAGTTCCCAGTAAAAACTGATGATTGCTCTTCAAACAGTGACTCATTGATCTGTCCCCAACTCACTTGTATGCAACGGGACTAGGAATAAGGCATAATAGATGCTCACTAAGCAAAACTGGGAGAAAGCCAAGCAGTGAGGCCAGAGAGAGGGCTCCGTTGGTAAAGAGCACGCAGTGCAAGCATGAGAACCTGAGTTTGAGCCTCAGAACCCACCTCAAAGTCGAGCAAAGTGGTACACACCTGAAATCCCCGTTTGGGGGAGGTAGAGACAAGAAGATCACCAGGGTCTTCTGGCTAGCTAGCTTGACCCAGTGAATGAGTTCTGGGTTCATTGAGAGACCCTGTTTCCAAAAAAAAAAAATGTAGACAGTGTTGAAGGACAATGTCTGGACTTTTGGCCTGCATGCAGATGTACTCATGAAACCTAGCAATGAGAGACCATGCACAGCCATTCCTGTACTTCCTGTACCAGGAAAGATGCTCTTGGGACAAGGGCTTTGATCTTGTTCTCAGGACAAGCATCCCTGACCCATAGGCCAAGCTTCTGGCTTGTCCCTTCGCACCCATTGGTCACACTTGAGGTGGAGCTGACTGGATGTGCCTTTCTTTAGCCGTCACTGTTGTTTGCTGGCTTGCAGAAGGCTGAAGCTGGTACAGATCCTGGGCTTCTGATTATCTTGGCCATGTGATTCCTTTGGAGAAAAACTACCGCGGCTACCGGTTCTGAGCTACCGGTCCAGACATGTCACATCACTCCCTCTCTCCCTGCGTGTCTTTCTGGCTGGTTGCCTTGCTTCACCCACACCTGATCCACAACTCTTTTAAGCCGAAGCTCCCAGGCTTGAATGAGGACTCCACATTTCTAACCAACTCCCTTCTTTCAACCACTTTATCCAAAGCCTTTATTGTTCACAACCTTTCAAAAAGTTTCATTCCCATGCCTTTATACCCAAATGGTTTTCAGTAGAACTGTGGCGGGCATGCACTCAAGAAAAGGTAGTCTTCAATAAATGGTGTTGGGAAAGCCAGACATCCATGTTCAGAAGAATAAAAGGAAACCCCAGCTCTCACAGCACATGGAAATCAACTCAAATGGGTTAAAATGTGAGGCCTGAAGTCATGAACTAACTAGAAGTAATCATACAGAAGATGCTTTATGACTTGGGACTAGGCACAGAGTTTATAAGACCCCAAGGCATAGGAAATAAAGGCAAGAACTAGACAACCATGTTTTTATCAAACTAAAGGTACAGGAAAAGAGGCAACCAGCCAGTTTAACAAATTAATCCATAGAATGTGAGCAAATATAGGAAATTTCATCTCATTTCCTTACCACCACCACATGCATAAACAGTCTATCTAAAAAGCCACCCCCCCAAATGAAGGCACAGATAAAGAAAAGAATCCTCAACTTTACTGATCATGAGGTGTGATAGTCAGTGTCAATTGTCAACCTGACAGAATCCAGTGCTCCCTGGGAGGAGAGCTTCTGGGTGTGCCGGTGGGAATTATCCTGACTGTGTCAGGTGAACTGGAATTGAAAGACTTGTCCGCTCTGAGTGGTTCCATTCCCTGGCTAGGACCTAGGACTGTGTGAGTGGAGAAAAGAGCCTTTCATCACTCTTTGCTTTCCTGTTTTGAATGGGACATGATCAGCTGCTTCAAGTTCTTATTGTCTTAGTTCCCCTGCCATGATGGAGCCAAGAAGAAATCCCTTCTGCCTTAATTTGCTTTGTCAGAGTATTTCTTTTTTTTTATAGAAAAAAAAAGAAAGAAAGAAAGAAAGAAAAAGAAATGAAGACATCAGGGAAATGGACATCAAAACCACAGTGAGACACCACTTCCCTCCAGTCAGAGGGCTACTGCTAAAAAGTCAAAAATTAAAAATGCTGGTGAGGATGTGGAGAAAAGGGGCCCCTTGAAACTGTTAATAGGCATGTAAATTAGTGTAGCCATTGTCAGGAATGGTGTGGTAGTTCCTCAAAATACTAAAAGCTAGAATTAGCATATGATCTAACAATCCCACTCCTGGGTACACAACCGAAGGAAGAGGAATCAGTATGTCAAGAGACATCTGCACTTCACGCTTGTCACAGCACTTTCGGCCACAGCCAAGAAAAGGGAGCAGCTGAGTGCCAGCTGAGAAGTAGACAAAGATGATGTGGTAACGGTGTAGGGTGGAATAATCTCCACTAAAGGATGGGGGACCTGTCACTTTTTACAAAATGGCTGAAACCGGATGTCATCATGTTACATGAAATAAGTCAGACACAGGAAAACCAGTCCCATGTGATCTTCCTCATGTGAGGGCCACAAAAGCTGACCTCATGAAAACTGAAAGTAGAATGGTAGTTACCAAAGACTGTGGTGGTGGTGGTGGGGATGGGAGGGCTGAATAAAGTCAACTAGCAGACACCAAGTTGCAGATAGATTGGAGAAAAGAGTTCTGGTTGTTTTTATTATATGCTATTAACTTATAATTAATTAATTCTGTGCATATTTAAAAGGCCAGAAGAAAGGATTCTGAGAGTTTTCAATTTGAAGATAATTGTTTCAGTGTATATGTGTGCATGTGTGTGCATGTGTGTGTGTGTACATTTACTCTTATTGGAACATTATGCAATGTATACATGCACCAAAACATGGCATGAGAGCTTGAAGTGAGGGTTCAGTGGGTAAAAGTATTTGTTTTATATAGTAGAAAACCTAAGGGCCTATCCTCAGAACCAAATACAAAGTAAGCCATGGTGGCACTAATTTATAATCTGGGCACTCCTGTGGTGAGATGAAAAGTGGAGACCGGAGAATCACCCAGAAGCTCACACATAAGCTAGCACAGAGTACACACTACAGTGGCAGAAACAAGAGAGATGCTTCCTCAACAAGGAGGAGAGAACCAACTCTCAAAAATTGTTCTCTGACCTCCACACATGCTCTGTGGCTCACATGTGCCTGTGCATACACACACACACACACACACACACACACACACACACACACACACGATGATGGTGATGATGACGATGATGATGATGATGATGATATATTTTAAATCACAATACCTCTGCATTGGTTATGATTAAAAATTTTAAAGTCCGTGTCAGTGCTTGAGTCTACAAGATCCTGAATTTTTTTCCTGAAGTCTTACTCCTT